AAAACGAAATTCTGCCAAGCCGCTGCCTCTAAATCAAATAAAAATACCGTATTAGATCTGCCATTCACCTAGTGGGAAAGAGATAGGTGTACTAAAATAGTGAAGACTCGCATTGTTTGTTCTCTTTCTTATACGAAAAGAGTAGCAATTTTCTTCTGAAGAATTCTTGCGGATGCTGCTTTGCGTATCACACATTTAACTAGACGTTTATGTATTGTTGCGATTTAATGACCATTTGCCGATGGTTGTCAGCTGATGACATCCAGCCGGAATCAATTTCAATTTCTCAGCTTTAATTTCTTCTGCGACCGAACACGCAAGATTGAACGCGATCTACTGCCTTCTCATACGTAAATTATAGGCTCTGGATCTTTCCACAAATGGCTGGAAGCTGCAAAAGGCTTAGGTATCGATCAAAGATCGGATTTGCTTGCTAACGGTAGGTTTCTTCTTTGAGTTTGGCTTGTTTGCATCAAAGACATTTTTCAACAGATGAAGGATCTTGTGTTGAGAGTTTTTGTATATGTGGAAGTTGCTGAATATCATCTTCTCATGTGAGTATTTTTAAGATCCTTCTCTCGCCGCCGCTCATGAGGAAGCCGCTCGCCGAGGCGATTCTCGCCAGCCGGAGGAAGTTGAGCATCACTATATCTGCTATGTGAATAAGGATGGAACTCTTTATGAAATTGGTAAGTTTACAGTGATTTGTCTTTCCTTATCGCGTTCTTCTATTTGTCCATTTTTTGTGTACTTTTATATATTCATTTTCTTTTTTAGACTCTCGAGCTCCATTTCCGCGCCCAATTGGCGTGAGCAGTGGAGACAAACTTGTCAAAGATGCTGGCGCTGCTTGCAAACATCTTATGGAGAAGCTGGACAATGTTTCATTTGCGGCCATGGCACTTGTCCCAAGATAAGCTTGGACATAATAAAACGGTGCTTTGGCTTGTTCATTCCGCTGCATAATAATCTCGCGTCTGACCCTCGGCTTTGGATCTTTTGGTGTGTGTACGACGATGCTTTATGTGATATCGATTACTCGAATGGTTCTCAGTCTTTGCCACATCTATCAGCTTACTTTTCCTATCTGTGATTGTTTCCGGTTTTTCAAACATGTTGTCACGGTTCTATTACGGCTTTAATAAA